GTCTCTTACAACTTTTCTTTACTCTGTTAATTTTACGTACCAAGTGGATAATGTCGGAGTCATCCAGGGATTCTTTCTGTGCGTAGTTTTCTTAATTTTAGGCACATAATCTTTGATGCACCGTAGTACCAATGATTTAAAAAAAAGCCAGAGCTCATCCACATTGCATTGAGGAGAGTCGCTAATGGCTGAAAACTCACAGAAAGCCTCCTCCATTTCGTCGAGAATACAAACATCATTCGCCTGTGCAAAATCAGAGACATACACTGTTTTGCTCTGTTTCTCAGGTTCCGCAGCGATGGAAAGGGACAGGTGAACTGTTTTGTGGTCAGAAATCGCGTCCAGAGCGGAAATGACAGGGTCTTTCTGTGCTAGAGTGTTGCTGACGAATACTAAGTCTAACGTAGACCTGGCGGAACCACACACGCGAGTTTCACACTTCACTAGCTGGGTCAGGTTGTGAAAAAAAGCCATGTCAACCAAAGGTTCAGCCTGTGACGAAAGCGGAACTGGGTAGGTTGACGACCAATCAATTTCAGGCGTGTTGAAGTCCCCTGCAAGGATTAGGTTCCGCTCCCCTAAATTATTGTTTGTAACGTACTCGTTTAACTTGATAGAGAATGAAGAATCAGAGTTAGGGGGGCGATAGCATGCTCCTATTACTATAGTTACTTCTCCCAGAGCTGTCTTAACCCATAGGCATTCCAGATCGGGAATGTCAGCTAGTCTGGTTACGAGAAGTTCGTCCCTAAGGATCACTGCCACACCTCCCCCTCGTCTATCACGGTCTTTTCGAAGCATCCGGTATCCCGGTGGAACTATTTCGTGGTCTGCAATGTCATTATTCAGCCAGGTCTCCGTGACAACAATAACATGAGGCGAGTAAGCCAAAATGAGGCTCTCGAGGTCAACAACCTTGTTTACCACACTTCGTGCATTAATGTTTAATAAAATGAATTCACGGTTACAGTCAGCTACCTCCGAACCCGGCCTTTTTTCTGGTAACGCTCTTTGTCACGCATTGCCCTCAGCGTCATTGATAGGTAGGGACAGTGACGCATGGCACTTGTATCTGCTCTGGGTATTTTCGTCCCAGCTATAGGTGGTGTTGTTCACCTTAAGTTTATCATAGAGCAACTTTACTTTGGCTCCTTGCTTCTTTTCCTCTGCCGCACTGTCCCAAAGATTCTTACGAATCTCAAGAAGTCTTTTTGAGTAGTCATCAGATACACTTATCTTACTGCCTTTCAACTTGTGACAGTTTTTCATTATTGCGGCCTTTTCTTTGTGGTCTTTGAAAGTTATTATGACCGGACGATCCCTATTAGACTGCTTCATACCCAACCTGTGCATTCTTTCAATAGTCTCTGCCTTAGCACCCAGAATACCCTGAAAGATGTTTTCATTAATATTGTTTACCAAAGTATGTTCTGTTTCGTGCTCCGCCTCTTTTATGCCTCTAACTATAAGGTTATTTTTCCGAGATCGATTTTCTAGGTTATCAAATTTTATCGTAAGGGACTTCATTTGTGAGTGAAGATTGCAGACTTCATTTTCCAACGCTTGGACCGTTTTACGTGTTTCACCTATATCAGAGAGCTTGCCTTCAATAGTGCTGAGTCTGGTTTCGAGCTGCTTGAACGACGCGTCAGCAGAGTTCTGTTTTTCTCTGACTTCTGTTACTGTTTTAAGGATGTCCTGCTGCCTGTCGACCACCTTCTTAAGAATCTCTTTCTGGGACTCTATCATTTTTTTCATTTCGCTAAACATTTCCTCAGTAGTTGGTCCAGGGTTCTCCTCGACATCTCCCGAAAGGCACAGCAGTAGTTTGATAACAGAAACACAGTCGCAGGCACATTGAAAAACCGTATGTGGGCACGGCAGAACAACAAGACCGAGTTCATCAGAACAGTAACAAGATTTTCTGTCACCAACCTGAACGATAAGAATCGGCAGCATTTTAGACGACATGATCGCGTGGCTTTCGCCGCGCCCACTGAAGCTTGCAGTTGCAGTAGCTGTTCTTATGTCCGTCGCTGGAGGCCTCATTCGTAGATCCCCTGCCAGAGTGCGCTTGAACAGTGTTTCCGAGTCGCCATCGCGCATGCGCGCAGGGAATGACGTTGTTGATGCGTTGATTGGAACCATCGGTAAGCTTGTCATCTCCGCTGGGACCGTCCCGTCGCAGATTATGTTGTCGCTGGACACAGCGAAGATTCCGCCGAGCAGCACCTGAACGATAAGAATCGGCAGCATTTTAGACGACATGATCGCGTGGCTTTCGCCGCGCCCACTGAAGCTTGCAGTTGCAGTAGCTGTTCTTATGTCCGTCGCTGGAGGCCTCATTCGTAGATCCCCTGCCAGAGTGCGCTTGAACAGTGTTTCCGAGTCGCCATCGCGCATGCGCGCAGGGAATGACGTTGTTGATGCGTTGATTGGAACCATCGGTAAGCTTGTCATCTCCGCTGGGACCGTCCCGTCGCAGATTATGTTGTCGCTGGACACAGCGAAGATTCCGCCGAGCAGCACCTGAACGATAAGAATCGGCAGCATTTTAGACGACATGATCGCGTGGCTTTCGCCGCGCCCACTGAAGCTTGCAGTTGCAGTAGCTGTTCTTATGTCCGTCGCTGGAGGCCTCATTCGTAGATCCCCTGCCAGAGTGCGCTTGAACAGTGTTTCCGAGTCGCCATCGCGCATGCGCGCAGGGAATGACGTTGTTGATGCGTTGATTGGAACCATCGGTAAGCTTGTCATCTCCGCTGGGACCGTCCCGTCGCAGATTATGTTGTCGCTGGACACAGCGAAGATTCCGCCGAGCAGCACCTGAACGATAAGAATCGGCAGCATTTTAGACGACATGATCGCGTGGCTTTCGCCGCGCCCACTGTGTCTAATTGATTTGTGTCTAATGAGCGCATCGAAGGACACTCGGCATCGTGCTCAGGTCCAATTTCTCAGTTGGCGCCATTCGACCGTGATAACGTTTCACGATAAAAGAAAGGGATATTTGCATGCCTGGATTATTCTGGTGGTGTTGCCTTACCCAGCTACGATACCGTAGTCGTTGCTAGCAACGAAAGCCCCTCGATAAAAATCATCGAGGGGCTTTAGCAGTAGCTGCTCATTCGCGTCACAACCCACTTTTTCTTTCTCCCATCTGAATGAGTATTATAAACGTCTGTCTTCAGCGTTATTTCGTACGTTGAAGACAGTCGGGAACCTTTCCGAGTTCTTTCTTGATCTGCTTCACTTTTAATAGCAACGAAAAAGAAAAAGACTACCGGTTTACACGATGCGCTAACCGGTGTGAAGTCCTTGATAAAGTTAAAAACATCAAGAGGCTTGTAGGCCGAGTGTGTGCCAACTAATAGATCTTTTGCAAAACGCCCTCTGCGGCGCCGAAAGGAATTCTGGGAACTAGCTGTGTAGAACTGGCTGTAGCAGACGACTGAGGCCACATGTAGCAAACACGGCCGAGCGGATGAGGGCACGTGGGTAGGTGAAAAACTGCGCCTGTCTCTTTCACTCTCTTCAGACTCACTTGATAGATGCTGCCAGGGCAAGGATCAGAGAAACCTACAGGAAGTTCCCATAATTCCTATTGTGCTTCCTGTGCGGCCTTTTAAGGTCATTTACCCGAAATGAACTCTAACACAGCGTTTGTAGCCGAGTCATAAGTCTCATGGGGCTAGCGTCTATAGAATGCACAAATTCCATGGTATACTCGCTTCGGTCAACGCTTTCCTTCATCAGCTACCAGAAGGCCGTCGTTAGCATGGTGCGTTATACACTCTGATGATGACAGTGATTGAAGTGTCTGGACTGAATTTCGGGAAGGTCCGATTACATAAATATTTAAGATGCCCCGAAACGTACCTTATTGTTAAGAATACATCCGACCTTGATGTAAAGTCACCACCTCTTTATAAAATATCTCTATAAAATCATTATATGGCAAAACTCCCTTTAAACATTCCTTCGTTTATTAAAGTTTCGATTGAGCGCGCATCATGCTCGCGTTCAACGGGTTCAGCAGTCTGGGGGATCGCTTCCAAAAACGGACTACTCACTAGTTTATGAGTACTTATTCGGTACTTCATACCGGAGTCTAGTTCAATAATTTTTAGAGCGCAGCTAGCACTCGTTCCCGTGTTTTGCGGCGCCGGCGCCGTCGGCGTCGGCGTAACCGGAGGCGGACGGGAGGGTACGCAGGAATGGGAACGGAGGGTACGGAGGAGGATGGGAGGGTATGGAGGAGGAGGGGAGGATACGGAGGGGGAGGAGGGGAGGGTACGGAGGAGGAGAACGGGGGGTACGGAAGAGGAGAAGGGGAGGGTATGAAGAAAGAGGGTACAAAGGAGGAGGACACGGAAGAGTAGGAGGGTGCAGAAAGCACGGTATATAGAAAAATCAAAATACCTCAAGAGCTGCGCTCTAATTTCGCAATACAGAGATTTGTAAACGTTTTTCATTTTTAAACTCTCTAGTAACCGTTTGTTAAAACTACCTAAATGTGTATCATACGAAAACGTTGAGAAACCCCGTATGGAATATCATCAAAGGGTATTTTAATTCATCGTCTTTTCGAGGTTTAAATTCGGACTGAATGCCCGCAGAAACAACGAAACAACGGAGGCGAAACTTTTCGCTAAGCAAAGCCAGTGTCAAAGTCGCGTGCCGATTGTTTGTCTCCACATACCGGACAACGGAGTAACAATCGTGTAATATGTATGACGTCTATGAGCCCAGCATTTGCAGGGCTGACAATATTTTGCGACTGCCATTTCGCAACTCTCAAGAGAAGCCACGCACTTAAGAAAGAAAGGTTCGTTACCACGTGTAAGATATAAAACTGCAGAAGGAGACGTCGTCACGGGTCTTAAGATACCGTGTTATCGGTGAGCCAGTAGGGCGAGCAGCTGTTCAGACCCTCGGGAAAGAACAGCCGCCAAGGCGCGCCCCCGGGGAGTCAATCGCCGTATAAATAGGGAGCCCTAACCTCGGCCTTGGAGGAACATCGTCGAAGATGAAGGCCTGCTGTCTGGTCCTACTGACTCTCTCCTTGGCGGCGGCGTGGACGCCCCCGGACGGCTGTGGACGGCCGGTCATTCAGCCTCTTCTGGAAGCCGAAGACCGCATCGTGGAAGGCGCCGATGCCGTGCCCGGCAGCTGGCCATGGCACGCCGGCCTGCACTTCAACCCCTTCTTCGACTCCCTGTACTTCTGCGGAGCGGTGCTCATCTCGGACCGCCTGGTGCTCACGGCGGCGCACTGCGTCACGTGCGTATACATCCTATCTAAAACAAAATCGGGTCGTAAAACAACTCTTAGGGGTTCTTCGTCTTGTCCATATTTTGCACCCTAAAAAGTTATTTGGAGCATCCCCTAAGAGGGTTCTTCGTGAAAAACCTATAAGAAGTTCTTTTGAGCTCCCTTTGTGATGCAAAAGAGTTCTTCGTCGCCCAGTTGCCTTTCTAGTGCGCCAGGGGACGGTAATGCTTAAAGCAAAATAAGGTGAAACCTTTCTTCACGAGCTGAAAGAGTTCTTGGGGTATCGAATAACCTGTCACTAATGGATTTTTTTTAGAATGTAGCTTGCCATGTTTAGTATCCCCAATACTCGTTCACACATTTAAAAAAATGTTTTTGCTCTTCCATTACGCCAAGTAGTTATGGGTTCAATCCCCCACCCCTGCCCGTTTTGATCTGCATGAGCATTGTACCGGCGTGCGGTCGTGTTTCACTATACTGCGTGGTGCATGTTAAAGGTTCCAGGCTAGCGGTTGTACTGCTCTGGCTAAATTGCTCATCTATCTGGACACCGGACGCCCATTAAGGTTGACTAACTTCTTAACTAACTAACTAATAACACAATTAATTAAGTAGTTCTTACAAGATTCGTTTAAAGCGTGTACGAATTAATAAAATGGCATAAATCTAATTTACCACGAGGGCCGAAGAGATCTAATTCTAACCCACTTTAAACGGACCGCAAAAATTGTTTATTAACGCATCGCGTTGCGACTTACTGCAGAGGTGCGGCTGTAGGTGGAAGTATTGAGTCAAAATATCATCGGACAAACTCACCTCATTCAAAAATGAAAAAAACCTAAAGTTTTGACTGCGCTTCCTTCAGCGCGGCGCGAGTATCTCTAATGTACGATTTGCAATGTGAAGTATCTTTTTTTTTTTTAAGTAAATTATATACGAAAACATGCGCTATCCCTCAGGACCCCCCATTTCTTCTACGGAAACGATCAGTCGAGGCGCCACATCTTCTCGTGCCTATCACTGCGGAAAGTCAGACGCCGCTCGTGCACCCGCAGCCCAGTGACTCGACATTTTTTTTGCCTCGGCGATAAGCGCTGGGAAGATGAATAGTAAAGTTATAAAGTCCCGTGAATAGGTCTTCTTCGACGCCACCGAGTTATGGCGGCGGCGTTTTCTTTTTGTGTTTGCGAGTTCACAAAACGAATTCGGTAGCGTTTTTTCTTTTTTTACACAATTTTTGATAATTTTTTGTTCCCATGCATTGTTTTTAAAACTGTAGTGGGCCTGCGGCGGTATACGCTCAGGTCTGTAGTAAACGGGGGTAACATCATTCATCTTCGGCGCGCGTCTCGTGAGAGTCCGAGCCACTATTTCTTCAGAGTGGACTAAGCGCCGTTTCGTGCTACAAAATATTAGCAAGGAAGAATTTAAGGAATGTACTTAGAAATCTGGAGCTGTACTTTCCTCAAAAAGCACTAGAAAAAAAATTATTTGCGTAAAGCACAAATACACGTTTCAGAAATGTGCTTCAAGTCGGGTGCAAGTTATTAAAACCTACTTGAAGTAGCACTAAGGTATACCCCCGCACCCCTTCCCTTCCCCATTGCATAGAACGCCATACCCACGAGAATGCAGCTCGACATTTGTACACTAATCTAGTTCTACAAATTTCGTCTTAGTGTCCGGCATTTTCGAAAATGCCGAAACTGAGAAGGAACATTGACAAATGGTTTACGCCGTTGTGAGGCGCAGAAACATAATCGAGACTTGCGCGTTCCTTCTTGTCTACGAAGGCAGCATTGTGGTATGCTCTACCCCAAACCCAATGATGCCTCCACAAAACCTTATGTTCACAATCAACAGCGCAATATCTACTTTACGCACACAGAAAAAAACGTATAAGAGATTGGCTGAATCGATCGATCGGATTTGAGTAGGAAGATAGAGGATGTGTCGAGTCGTGTTCAGTTATTCAGCTCATGTATACTGTGCTTTTATTTTTATCCTCTGGAAAAGTTGTTTTTATTTTGTCATTACTTCTTCGTGATAAAACCCTAGCGATTAGCACCCAACGTGGTCTACGATAAAGTAGACAAGAAGATGGGTCTTTTAAAGAATTTTCTGACCACATCACGAACATGCAGTGAAGAACACTGGAGGCCAAAATCTTGGAACAACATTGCTCTGGTGGTCAATGGGAACGATTGTCTCAAGAGGCAACTCGGCTTTTTGATGGCAGGTTTAACACGCCACATGGCACGAGAGTCCACCTGGGCTCGCACACCAGGGAGACCAGGGACGCAACGGAGGTCGTCATGCCGGTGGAGCACATGTGTATGCACCTCGATAAAAAGGTATGCACCAACACGCTGTTGACAAACAAGCCGCATTCGCCCACACTGCGGTGCGCGTCTCCGACCGGTGTCACTTTAGCGCCCTCAGCTGCCCATACATCAAAAGTGGTTTCGAAGTGGTACCGAATAACGTCACAGAAGCCGGAGTGCCACGCTGTTGGATGTCACGATCCTGGCGGTTGGTCGCAGAAATGCTGGCGAAAAGCACGAGCGAACGCGAGTGTCGCTGTCGTCGCGGCGTCCCACTTCCTGGCTGCTGGAACCTCAGTGGATTGTCGAAGTGGAGAGCCAACTGCAGCAGAGCAGGCGTCTGCCACACGCACCACAGCTATTGGGACGCCGCCAGGATCGCGACTGGCGGCAGCATGAAACTTTTATAACATCACCAGGTGGAAATCGAGGGACCACTTTTTTGGACGCGGTAAACAGACCAGTCGGAGACGCCTTTCAGGAACCGTAGGCCCGTCGTTTTCGGCCAGAGGGCGCTGTAGCGTCCGCGAGACGCGATTACACGAAGCGGAGTCATAGCGCCCCACCAGCATCTCTTCAACGCGATCGAATGAAAAGTTTCAACGGACGCAACGCGAGGCACAACGAATACGCGATTTAAAAATATCCTATTTTGCCCGCCGGTGGCGTTGCTCAAAACTTGAGAGCTACAGGTCTATGCCCACACCAGGTATGGGCAGCACGTCTGCGCACAAATCATATAATAAGTGTGCGCCCCCCCGGAAAAAGTTCTGTCGACGACCATGGTCATTAGACGAAAAAGAGGGACTCTAACCGAATTCCTAACCCGACGTTTCGAGACCAGCTCGGTCCCTTGTTCACGGGTCAGTGACGGAAAGAACACGTGCGTCGCTTAAATGGGCGCACAGATGTGTGGGGTGCGTACTGCACTCGTCGAAGGCGTTTGGCTCTCGCATTCGAGCGCGTTCGACGATTGCAGTGGAAGCAAAGACAGCTAGCTTTAGGTCTACCCACTATTCATTCGAATCAGACCTCGGCGTCTCCTTCTCTCCCTCACTCTCTCGGCGGATTGCGCTGACCCATTCGTGGGGTTGGTGCAGAAAAGTGCACCTGCCTTGCGGGTGTTGATTCCGTTCCACCGTTGTCGTTTTCTGTCGTCATGAGGCGCCACCAAGGCGATTGTTCAGTTTAAATTTAAACTTGATCTAAACTATCTCAAATATGCCTTTGCCGAGCTTTACCAAAAAAAAGTGGCGCAATCAAACTTTGGAAATCTTTTTAGAACCTTTTTAAGACTCGACATAAAAACAACAAAAAAAAGTCTTAAGCCTAATCGAACCTGCGCCGTGACCTACTGGCCCTAACCCGAGGCACTTCAGCGAACATCCTAACCTAATCACTCGGCGACGTTAGAAGCGTCGATTTTCAAACAGAATGACCATGGGTGGGGCAGCCAGTCGGCGAAAATATCTATAGTCGGTGACAGGTCAAGAACGAAGTGGAAGCTCCTCCCACCCTGTTCCACTTCAGTGGAGCGAACGGTGGAGAGGAGGTCGCCTCCTCTCCAGTGTTCACTCTACTAAAGTGGAAAGAGGTGGGAGGAGCATCCACTTCGTTCTTGACCTGTCACCGACTATAGACAAGGTCAATTAGGGCTCCGTCGATCAGCCCCTAACATAAAGAAGGTATCGCTATGGGTGTGAACGCACTGTTTACAAACGCATTCGCCCATACCAGATATGGGCACTACGCGTGCGCAGAAACCACAACTTGCGTGAGATGAAGCGCCGACGCGTGCCCCGTGCAGACAGCGCCGCCGCCGCACCTGCGTCACGTCCGTCACGTGTTGGTTACGTGAAATGGCATTTTTAATTTTTATTTCTTACAAATTTTTTTTTTCGGCCTTGCAGAAGGACATTGCCATCGTGAAGCTGGCTCAAAAGGTGAACTTCACGGACTTTATCCAGCCCGCGTGTCTTCCCGAGGCCGACAGCGAACTGCCGGACCGGACTGAGCTCTACGTCACGGGCTGGGGAAACACCATCGGTAAGGAAAGACCGAGTCAGTTGACATCCACGTCGATATGGGAACGAGTGGGCAAAGCGAGCTGGACAAAGGGAACAGGTGCATTGCGCGCCGGCAGCAAGAGGTGGCACCAGAGGGCACAGAAGCACACAGACGATACGCGGACATTCAGTGGGTCCCGGACAAAGTTTCCACGCACCGTAGTGGCACGTGTTGGATCACAGTCGACTGCTGCATCCAAAGCCCTGTCACGTGTGCTAATTTTTTTTTTTTTTTTTTTTTTTTTTTTTTTTTTTTTTTTTTCAGAGGGTGATCCAGAATCTATGCCGGACGTGCTCCAGCAGACCAAGACGCTGAGTGTGGCCAATAATCGCTGTGCGGAGGAGTATTCTGTCGACAACGACGACGAAATCTGCACTTCGCACGACTTCGGCTCCACCTGCAACGTGAGTTGAGCAATGGCTAACTGCACATCTGAGCGTTCGGCTCGATACAACTACGAGGATTCGTGTGGTTCCGAGCATATAAAGGGACTGCAATGAAACTTTTCACAAAGGTGCACTTAGGTGGTGCATTCATCGTACTCACATTTCATGATTGTGGGTATGCTAAAACAAAAATTAAACCTTAATAAACTTGGCTTTTTTTCTTTTTTTCTTTTTGCACGGGGGGGGGGGGGGGGGGGGGGGGGGGGGACAAATTGTCTGGTTGACGCTTCTCCTCATAACTTGTACCACACACTCGGATCTAGCGAATCCGCTTTCGACTGTTCATCTCAAGGAAGCCTTCACGTTTTTGCTTGATGTTGCGCCATCGGTGTGTAGAAGCATCAACCGGACGGGTTTGACTGTTTTGCTCCATGTGCATAAAAAGAAAAGCAAGTTTATTTTTAGTATTAAATTTATTCCTCAAAAGCTATGCTCAGAAAATTTAAGTGTAATAAATGCACCACCTAAACACACGGCCGAGGAAGGTTTTAATTCACTTAGTCCTTTGATTTATTTGTACGAATATTTTACGCTCAAATAGCAATCGGAGACACCCTGTTGCGGTAGGTGCCGCGATCATGTTACACTCGAGATCCGTGCAATGTATTTTGGACTTTGCAAATGCTCCCCCCATCCCCGCCCCCGAAAGTCGACGCAAGCTCCTTCGGAAATAAACTAACCAAATCATTCGCTCAAGAAGACAATCAAGATCGCGTGTTGTCGGCGTGTTGTCAGCCACCACCTAAAGACACATGTACCGCAAGGAGTGGGACCACCATGAGAAAAACATTCAGGCAGCTTATAGAAAACATATACGCCTTGAACGCAGCATTCAAGGTCTGCAATTTTCTCCAAGCTTGGGTGAAGTTACTTTAGTAAAGTTCGTCTTTTGCACTGATATGAATCCGTTCGCCGCGCTTTACCAACAGGCACGATCGTTCCGAGAGAAATAAAATACGTGGTGGTTTCGGAGAGATTGACAGCCTTAAAGGAGCTGTGCAATAGTTTCAGTGCTTTGCTTAAATAATGTGGGAGTTGGTGTGTCGACCTTTCTGAAGTAAAGAACAAAAAAACACTTTTGCCTGCATGTCAGAGTTTTTATTTTAAAAATGGACAAAGATTGAGGTTTTCGGCACCTCTCAACCCTTTCACCATCTTCCGAGTCACGTGCGCTGTGACGTCGATGGGGGTCGCGCGGGGTTCCGGTGAAGCTCTCCTCTAGAGCCATCAGTGAGCAGCGAGAACTCACCCTCTCGCGACCACGTGACCACGTGCTGGCGGGCGCAAGCGAACAATATATGGTGAAAGGAGGAAAGTTTCATCCGGGTCCGGCCATCTCCGTCCGGCTCTGTCCCCCTCCCCCTCCGGTTTCTGTGGGCTGTTCCATGCTGTTCGCGGCAGCAGATAGAGCTGACGGTTTTGTGGACCAAGGATAGATGGCGCCACTAAAACTCCGTATAATAAAAGTTGTGTCAATGATACCAGGTTTTTGACGCATGTTGGAACGACAAGATTTATAGAAAAGTTACCTTTTATCGAGCAGGTATTCGCACAACATGCTATCTTTCTACAATACCCCCATTGACGTCATGCCGCGTGGTTCTCATGGCCGCCGCTCGCGGCTGCAGGTCGTGGAATATACTCATTTTTGCCACGCGATTACGCGGCGGAATCGCAGCATTTAGAAGGAAGGAGGTGTGTTTTCTGTTCTTTGTGACAAGATGAACAATGTCAGAAGTAGAAGATGCCAATTCTTTCAACGTTAAAATAGTTGCACAGCTCCTTTTTTTTTAAACGGTTGCAAAAGTGAGCGATCGTTTCCAAAAGTCCATCAGGTAGCACTGGTGGCCGCATTACTTCTTGAGAAGAGGGAAGGGTGGACTATAGAAGAGTATAAAGGAAACGAAGAGGAGATTGGGGTGCTGGTGGAAATTATGTAGGCATAATTGAACTAAGTACAGCTAACTAGCACAGCTGGGGGCAGGCGGGACGGAGGAAAATTGGGACTCCCTCCCGCGTGGCTCCGGCCCAAAGTCTCAACCCTGTCCCCCAGTGGGCCTGGTGACGCCGACAAGGTTCAATCAAATTGGAAAATTGGCGACACCCTCACCTGTGGTAGGAGGCAAGGGGTGATGCTATTAGTTGTTTTGCCCGATTCCCCAAAGGTCATCCTGGTCCTATACCACACCGCCTGGAGATAGTTACGAAATTTCAGAGGGGAAACAAATTGGCTTAGAAGGGCGAAGGGAGGAATCGTGCTTATCGTTTTTAATTTCTAGGCTAGGTGGCGCAAGCGACCACCCGTTATAAAGGGTACAGCCGTTAGCATCTATCCATCTTGCGAGTGTGTGTGATTGGATTCGAGTCCACGTCAAGTGCTGACGCAGGATTCGTGTCTAAGGCATATTTCTCATCGGATAACCGACGCACATCGGCACCGGAGAGCCCGCACTTTTGAAAATGGTTTATACACGTCGAAAGTTCCTGGATTTGAACAGTAACTACAGCGAACTAGAATAGGAGTAGTGGAAAAATAGCCGACCTCCAGATGAGCCGCTTCGTGTAGAGCCTACCAGGTAGCGCTGGTGTTTGATTCCAGATAGAGTTCCTGTATAGGCTCCCTACGGGAGCCAGAGTTGCGCATTTGTTTTCCCCGCGCCGCCACGCCGCTATTCGCTGAGATCCATCACGTGAGGAGCAAAGCATCCATGGCGTGCAAGAAAGCCACCTTTACGGTCGCTCCGCCGACGTTTCTCGCACCGCGGCGTATGTTTTCCTGCTTTCCCCCTCCTTTTCCTCCTCTCCTGTTTTCCTCGCGCGGCGGCGCGCGCGGCGCCGCTATTCGCCAAATTTAGTCACGTGAGGAGCAAAGCATCCAGGGCGTGCGGGGAAGCCGGCGCTAGGGCCACTCGCCGAGGCTGAATGCGCAACTCTGCTACCGTAGGTAGCTATACAGGAACTCTAATTCCAGAGCACTCCTGCCAGCGAAGTTCGCGCCAAGCGTAGCTGTTTTTGATCTTGGCGATTCATTAGTGTGGACTATGTATGCTTTATGGGTGTTGAAACGTCTATGAATTAATGCTTAAAGCTTACTTGGGCAATGTAGTGAAAACCGGGGTAACCAGTCCTGTATGCTGGCTCGTAGCGGTGCGCATCCGTCATCTTTACCTCCGTTTTAATTGCGTAGCGACAAGGCTCAAACCCATGTAATAACAATGCCAAGCACTTGACATTCACAAAAACAAATTCCAAAAATGACCATAGACACCACAGAAACCATCTGAGAATGTACGCGAGGCCCCAAGTCCTCCGGATTTCGACAACACTTGCGGCAGTCTACACTTCTGGCTTCACACGGCCGATGGGGCGCCGCCCACGCCTTTTCCACTGGCCCTATATTCTAGTTCACTGTACAGTAACGAGCCGTCCTTGTGCTTAAAATCAGTGCGGCCAGCTATCTCAAGCTTTATCTCAAATGGCAGGAAAGGCTTTTCCGTTAACTAGAAGTACAGCCCACGAAAGAGCAACACCTGTTGCTTGAGCTCCCTGAAAGCATATTGAGAGCCCAGGAAGCCACATTTTCGAATTAGATCGATCGCCAATAGATCTTTTGCACAGCGTACAGCGCCGCCCGCGGCGCCGAAAGGAGTGTCGGGAGCGCTAGGTGTGACTGGATCTAGCACACGACAGAGGCGACCTTGAAGCGCCCGCCTTGGAGGCGACGGTGAGCGGGCCTACAGAACTTCGCGCGCGGCGTTTAAGGATTTTTGAGAAAAATGGTCTGTTCTGCGCTAAGTCTCAAAATGGCGGCGCCCACAAGAAAGTTTAGCGTAGTTTTTAGTGACTGTAGTGTAGACTGACGGTGGCCTCTCTGCCTTTACAGCGCGACAGCGGGGGCCCCCTGGTGCGGAAGGACGACAGCGGCGCCTGGGTGCTCGAGGGGCTCGTGGCTTCCGGCCCCAAGTTGTGCCGGAGCTGGAAGCACAGGGCCTTGCGCTACACCAAGCTCTCCCACTTCGTGTCCTGGATCGACGACTACAAGAGGGCCGAGGAGAGCGGCCAGGACCTGAGCGCCTTCTGCCAGATGGCTCCCGACTTCGACAGGGACATATAGACGGTTGCTGAAGACATTGCACATGCGCGGTAGTCCGTCTTTACCAGAGCAGTTATGTGCATAAAAATGTGAATGGATGGAAGGACATGGTTGAAGCGTTGTAATCGGGCGACGGCTTGCGCCACCTAGGCAGTGTTATTATTTTAAAACAAAATTAAGGTTAGACCTATAACCCTATATTAGTATCCTTTTTTTTTTTTTTTATTCCTCAGTCGGAAGCGCTACCCCTGCAACTCTCTGTTTAGATGTCATGTAAATAAATAAATATGACGTGATTAAAAAGAATTAGTTTGGTCTTAGTTTTTGCAACTCAACTTGGGCTTGCTATTTTGTTCCATCGGACCCCGCTAGTTCTTTTTTCTTTGCCCACTTATGTTTTTCTAGTGGTCCTGTTTGTTTGCTTTCATGTCGACTACTGCTTCTGTATAAAAAAATAGGCATCTTTTAATTGCCACACTAAAGTAAGCGCATTATTAAGTTACCTGACTAATTAAATAAATTACTACACACAACAAAAAAAAGGTTCATATTACTGCCAGTTCTGTAGTTGATTGGCCCAGTTGGCTCCTCAAAAGACGAAAAATAACTAAACAAGATATGTCGCTCCCTTGCAGACTTGTAAAAGATGCTCAGAAAAAGTACTTAACTTAGGCTAAAAGGTAACCGAGTAGAGTACCCAAATTCCAAACGTATCCGAGTAGAGTACTAAATACTCCCAAAAGTAACTCCTTACTTCCAAGATGTTCTCAATTACAAATTGTTGTAAAATAAGTCACACAGTTGTTCGAAATAAAAGAAAACATAGAAAAAACACGCCTTTACCAGTGTATGCGCCTGGTAGGCTCAACTGCGAGCGTGCCGTCGCGTCCCATGGAAGAGGACGACGAGTGGCGAACGTTCGTGATTGCTCGCGCAGCTCGACCCAGATCGAACTGCTGTCCACAATGATTGTCCCCACCGTCGCTCGTTTCCAATGAGCATCGTAGCGGCGTGCGATCGTGTATCACTGCTGCGTTGTGCACGTTAAAAACCCCAGGCTAGCGGTTGTACCGCACTGGCTAAATTGCTCATATACAGCGAGTGACCCGTCGCAACTTTGCCAACTACACGTTGTCTATATATCCACACAGCCCCAATTATTTTATTTCCCGACTAACCTGACCTGTAGATGTGTAAATAGCCATCTACGTAATTAAATGTACACATAACAAACTTGGCGACGTAAATCGGAAAAAGCGGGCGAGACTCCGGCAGCTCATCATGCATGGTTGAAAGGACATCGCTGCCATTTGAAGCTTTCCGGGTAGGTAAGCCGGAGACATGGCCGTTGTACCTTCAACGGCTGAAATTCCACTTCGAAGCCCATGGGATCACTACGTCCAAGATGCGAGCTGCGTTCTGCAACGTCTGCAGCGGCTCTGGTCTGCGGTGCCGAGACTTATGCAATACTGCTTTCACTCTGTGCGCCAAAGACAGCCTCCGAGACAGACCGCTGACATTATTAAGAAGTTGGAAAAGCACTTTTCACCAAAACCCTTGGAGATCGTGAAACACTTCAAATTCCGTAAGCGGACACAGCATGCGACAAACCCATGAGTGCATTCGTCGCGGACTTACGCCGCATTTCAGTTCCCTGCAATTTCGGAGGCACCCTCGATGCCGTCTGCGCGACCAGGTTGTCTGTGGAGTTAAAGACGAGGCCTTGCAACGACGTCTGCTGAGCGAAGCCGAGCTTGCGTTGACACAAGCGGAAAAGTTGGCCATCACATTGGAAAGGGCGAAGAACAGTGCCGTGGAGATTGGGACTACGTCCAAGGATGTCAGCCAAGTCCACAGCGTGGCTACAGATGGATCTAGACCGTCAACGCCTGCACAACATCCAGCGAAGCCTAAAAACCAAGCAAGTGACTTCCTCGTGTTACCGATGCAACGGGGCACGTCCTTCATAAGACTGTCACTTCAAGAACGCCACATGCCTGTTCTGTGGTCGTAAGGGGCATATTGTTAAAGCCCGTCTCCAAAAGAAGGCAAAGAAAAGTTCTCCAAGAGCAAGACAGAGGAAGGCTCAAGCTGATTTTCTAGACGGCGATACCACCAACACGTACAAGCTGTATAACCTCTCGCCTAATGAGCCCTCCATCCTCGTAGACATCATGATAAATGAAGAGCCAACGCCGGTGGAGGTCAACCTGAACGGTTCGTCATCAGCAAAAGAACAATGACACGACTTTGCATACTGAAGCAAAGGCTACGACCATCCACTGATGTGCTGAGAAGCTACACGAAAGAATCTGTCACCGTCCTTGGCGAAGTACATGTCAATGTACGACACGAATTAAAGTATGCAACCCTACCACTCCTAGTGGTCAAGGGAGAGTTTGCAAGCTTTTTGGACGAAACTGGTTTAAGCCTCTAGGAATGGGACTCACAGGTGTCCATCAACTCAGGAACACCCAGCAAGTTGGCGGATTCCTTGAGGAGTTCAAGGAAGTGTTCGACGCCGGCCTGGGAAAGAGCTAGAGCACTATATAGCTCCTACGGAGCAGAGTAGCGCAATCCTTTGAACCCCGTGTTTTGCCGACAAGATGGCCGACAGAGCGGCTCGGCGCGAGTCACGTGGTACTCAGGGTTCCAGGAGGCGGCCCGCCCTATGGGAGAATACATGGAGGTCGATACAACACGGCTGATTAAAAAATGAACGGCCAGTTCACACTTCTCAAAACTAGTCTGTCGTGAAGTTAGTAAAGCACTAAACACTTTATCAAAGTTTTAATAATATCGGATGCGTGTGCAAATTTTGAGAAGGCACTTTCCAAGGCAATGGCGTTTGAAGCAGACGATTTTTGCTCGCAGCGGAGATGGGCTTTTCGGGTTGGCCGGAGCGGGTCACGTGAATGGCGTGACGTCGCCGTGTCGTCTGCTGCATGATGCCTCAGGCAATTTTTCAAAAAAAGTCACGTCCTTGCGGGGCACAAAACTTAGCGAAAATTATTCTAAAATGTTCCATTATTATGTCAAAAACGATTGCCATTCCGAACATCCCCACAATACTGAAGAAACAACGATTTTCTCACGTTCTCCATGCATTTCTGACCGCAGTTGGAACCTCCGGGCGTTCGCCGCTAGTCGCCGAGAGGCGGCGTTCTAGATTGCGCTACTCTGCCACTCTGCTCCGAACAGGGGGGGGAATGAGGGAAAGGGAACGCGGCGCAAAGCGGAGGCTGCCATATTAAAACCGCTTACGTTGCCAGCATAGGTTTTGCAGCGGAGAAGTTGCTGCCATATACGGCGGACTGAGTTTTACTTTCTTTTTCGTTTTGGAACGAGAATGTATTGTTGTGTTACATAAGTCCTCCTGCATACAGACAATGAAGTTGAGTTATATTTGTCTTGTTTACTTGGTTTGGAACCCTAGAAACGGGTTTTTGACGACTTATCGCTTTCAACATTTTGGAGTACGCAAGGCAGTTATCTCGCTGTTCTGGTTTCGGTTACGAAAGCAAGGCAAAACGCTCGTAGTTCCCGCCCTCAATACACGTTGGACACCTTCCACACTTTGACACCGGATAACTGTATGAACAAGGATTTACATTTACTTCAGAGGTAACTTTCGCCGTTTCCTCACCGTCGAGCAGCCGGATCAGCTGGCGGCAAGCCGCGGATGAATGGCTTGAGCATCAACAGCCTAGAGCCACTAAAACAGCCCAAGTGCACTCAGTGCCGATGCGGGCGACGCGGGCTTCTGTCAACCCAGCGGCGGACCCAAGAGGGGGGCGATGGGGACGCCCCCGCTTCCCCCCCCCCCCCCCCCCCCCCCCCTTCTCGAAGGGCGATTTGACATGGGTGGATCCCCCGAAGTAACACCAACTACCGGCCTGCCAGGTGGTAGGAGGCTCGGTACTCAAGGACGAAAGTTCGAAATAGGGTAGGCCGCACCCTAGCAGGCACACTCTACTCTGAACTTGGAGAACCACTCCGTCGCTTCAACCGAGACTGAAGTCCGCGGCGGCGGTATCAAAGCACGGCTTAGAACCAAAAGTCCGCGCAGCGGCGCACATCTAGGGGCCGTCGGTGCACTGTGGTTCTGCGGCGGTTAAAACAAAACGCGCAACCCGAGTTCTGTCTATCTTGCTTTAGATTTTCCCTCCCCAAAGAAAACAAAAACAAAAAACGGAGTTCTGGATCCGCCTTTGGGTCAACCGGTAGCCCAGCACAATCCGTGAACGTTCCAGCTCTTCGCCATGACACGGTGTTGCAGAAAGCAGGGTAAAATACAACTACACGGACCACCGAATCAAATGCACTGTTATCGTAAATATTGGCTTGTGATTGCGCCTTTGTAGATCATCTTATTCGTTTTGCTGGAGACGCAACCGACGGGCGTAACAAAATCGCTTGTGTATTCCACATACCTCGCAAAAGCACTTACCCAGTCACCTTGCGAAAAGCTTGAAACACGGAGTCCGCGCCGCCCTGACTTACCAGTCTTTTACCTACTTTAGAGCAGTTTGTACCTGCTAGTAGGCATGTCTACTGAAACTGCAACTTGAAACTAGGGGCAATGCCAGAGAGAAAAGAGACAAAGTTGGGAAAGCATGCTCGCTCTCTCCAATTTCTGAACTCTCAAGCGATTGTACCATAATCAATTCCCCATCACCTTTCCAAAATAAAGAAAAAACGCTATGTTCACTACGTAAAAAATGATCTCAGTTCATGCATCCGCAGGCAGGAGGAAACGTTGCCCTAATTTATTCACACCACATGACGAGCGCAACAAACTCACACGAGATTTACAAGAAAATATCGGTGGTGACTTAAGTTTCCCTAAAATTCTGTATGACCGGTCGTTTGCAGGACCGAATCATCTACTCAGGCGGTGTGCGTCGCTGTGCAAACGCCAACAGCACGAAGCATAAAAACGGCAGGTCTTGGACAACAATCCGGAGTCCATTGTTCAATTGAAACGACGTAATTTTGTTGAAAACGCCCGCAGCTTTTTACTCACGGTATGCGTCGAGAATCTTCCACATTTTGAAACGGAACGAAGGAAGATTTACTTTTAAAAGCGCTCACTGCGTCCTCCCGGACCAGCTGGACCGGATCAGCTGACGACGACGGGACTGAAACCGCTGAATTTCAACCCCACAATAACCAATTTGCGCTTCGTGTTAGTATGGGCTTCTACCTCCAAGCACCGCACCGCACACCACGAACGTTTCAACTCTTTGCCGCCCATCGCCGTGTTGCACCGGTTGCACCAAACAGAACGAGATCGCCGAAGTCAACGGAGCGCTGTCGTGAACCTTGGCTTGTGGCTGCGCACTCGTGGACCCTGTGACTCCCTTCGCTTTCAAAGCACACACGACGATTACGAATGATACTTTCCGTCTTCCGGGACCATCAAGGGGCACTTCTCCGGTCACGTTTTCGCTACATGTGCTCGAAAACCGCGTCAAACGTGGTCGAACCGAAGCTGCCGAAGCAATACCGGCGCCATGTTGATCGTGCGTTGTTGCTAGATTCTCTCCGACCAAACAAAAACAACGAAAGCAAACCGGCTCTAGCTTCCAGCGTACATCGGCGTTGCGCCGTGGCCAGATTTTCTTCGTCAGCTCTAACTTAAAGATGACCTACAGATGCAGCAACACTGGTATCAAGTTTTAACATGGCGGCCCCCACGGAGCGCCGTAAATTCTGAGGAGGGTGCATTGGAAGCGGCGGCACCTTCCCCCCCCTGGCTCCGAAGGAGCTATATAGTGCTCTAGAAAGAGCCGGGGACCTTCCATTCGTGTGGAGGTCGACA